GTCAACCAAGAAAACAGTTTTGGCATATGACTCAGCCATTCTATTCCTACATATTTACTCAAGAAAAACGAAGCAGATGTCCACAAAAATACTTGCACACCAAGGTTCTTATATTTAATAGCAATAGTTCAAAACTGCAAACCCAAGTAGCCATCACTAGATAAACAGATACAAAGTTTGGTATATCCATGTAATGAAATATACAATATTCAATAGGAACTAAATATCAATAAACTAGTGATCCAGAACAAAGACACTGTGTGAAAGGAGCCAACTTTTCCCTATAAGCACACACAAAGTATCTTCTACAAGACTACATTATAATTCAAAAAATGCAAAATAATTTATGATGACAAAAAAGAGATCATTGCTTGGTTAGGAATAATGAATAGAGGCAAGACAGTGCAGGCCCACAGAGTTTTGGAGGTGATATTGCTTACTTCGTTGAGATGGGTGGTTTCACAGGTATACATATAATAAAATTCACCAAATTATGTTTTTTTATAAGTATTTACTTATTTTTATTGGGAAGGCAGATATACAGAGAGGAAGAGAGACAGAGAGGAAGATCTTTCATCCGATGGTTCACTCCCCATGCAGCCGCAATAGCTGGAGCTGAGCCAATCCAAAGCCAGGAGCTCCTCCAGGTCTCCCACGTGGGTGCAGGGTCCCAAGGCTTTGGGCCGTCCTTGACTGCTTTCCCAGACCACAAGCAGGGAGCTGGATGGGAAGTGGGGCTGCTGGGATTAGAAATTGTACCCATATGGGATCCTGGTGCATGCAAGGTGAGGACTTTAACCGCTAAGCTATAGTGCCACCCCCTCCCCAAATTGTGTTTTAAATATACAGTTTAGGGACTGGCGTGAAAACTTAACTAGCTAATCCTCTAATCGCAAGCACCAGCATCCCATAAAGGTGTAGGTTTGTGTCCCAGCTGCTCCACTTCCTTTCTGCCACCCTGCTTATGGCCTGGGAAAGGAGCAGGGAAGGCCCAAAGCCTTGGGACCCTGCACTCACATGGAAGATCAAGCAGAGGCTCTGGATTGGTGCAGCTTCACCTTTCCAACACAAATAGATAAATTCTAAAATATATACATAATTGGGGCCCAGCACAGTAGCCTAGCAGTTAAAGTCCTCGCCTCAATTGCGCCAGGATCCCATATAGGCACAAGTTCTAATCCCAGCAGGCCCATTTCCCATCCAGCTCCCTGCCTGGGCCCTGGGAAGGCAGTCGAGGACAGCCCATAAAGCCTTGGGACCCTGCACCCGTGTGGGAGACCCGGAAAAAGCTCCTGGCTTCAGATCAACTCAGCTCCAGCTGTTAAGGCCACTAGGGGAGTGAGCGAGTGGATTGAAGATCTTTCTCTCTGTCTCTCCTTCTCTCTGGAAATCTGACTTTGCAATAAAAATACATAAATCTTTAAAAAACAAATCATGGGCCCGGCGCGGTGGCACAAGTGGTTAAGGTCCTCGCCTTGCACGCCCGGGATCCCATATGGGCTCCGGTTCTAATCCCAGCAGCCCCGCTTCCCTTCCAGCTCCCTGCCTGTGGCCTGGGAAAGCAGTTGAGGACGGCCCAAGGCTTTGGGAACCTGCACCCGCGTGGGAGACCCGGAAGAGGCTCCTGGCTTCGGATCGGCATAGCATCGGCCGTTGCGCTCACTTGGGGAGTGAATCATCGGACGGAAGATCTTTCTCTCTGTCTCTCCGCCTTTTCAATAAAAAAAATAATAAAAATAAATCTTTAAAAAAAAAAAACAAATCACATGTAGGTGCACGCACACATAGCAAGTGCACACCTATCATGAACACTGGACACAGAGACCCTCATTTAGACAAGTGTTTATCATCACTCATTTCAAAGGCAGAGTTAGAGAGAGCGGGGCGGGGGGAGATACAAAGAGATCTGCCGTTTCCTGGTTTACTTCCCAAAGAGCTGTGACGGCAGGGCTGGGTCAGGTCCAAAGCAGTGGCAAAGACTTGAACCTCTGTCTCCCACACAGATGCAGTGGCCGAACAACCAGGACCAGAAAATGTCAGTCCCCTCCTCTCCCTCCAAACCACTCATGGCTAAAGGCATATCAAGCTCTGATTTTTCTCCTTTTTTAGATATTACACAGAAACAACATATTTGTAATCTGTAACAGATTCCTTCTTAGTCATCCACATTTTCTCTCCCAGTGGGTCATGTTCCTTACAAAAACAGACAGTAAGCACAATGATGAAGAACTCACAGGACGGGGGGAATCCGAGAGCCTACGAAACTGTGTCATAAAACGAAATTAAAAAAAAAAAAAAGCAAAAGGAAAAAGAACTCACAGGACTCATAGGATGGGAGTCACAGTACTTGGTTTAAATCTGCATCTGAGATACATCAGGTATGAGAGCTTAGGGCAAATAACCTTATCTGTCTGCCTTTGTTTCCTTACCCATAAACTGGAGAACTTCAGACTGTTATGGGAAGGCAATTAAACAAGCGAATGCTTGGAAAGTGCTTAGAAGTAATATAGTAACACATAATATATTATGGTATTTAGTATAATTAGGCAAATATTCATTAAGCAAAATAAAGTTCTTAAGCTGTTATGATTTGAATGTGTCCCCAGAAACATATGTTGGAAATGTAATCCTCAGTGTAATTTAACAGTAGTGATAAGAGGTGGAATTCTTGAGAGGTGATTAGACCACAGGAATGAACAGCTCGGTGCGCACTGTGAAAGTGGCTTGGGGACTCCACGTTCAGTCTCTTGTACACTCTGCTGTGATGCCTTCCACCACGTTAGGATGCAGCAAGAAGCCACTAACCAGATACAGCCCCGTGCTGCTTATAAACCACACATTCTCTGGCATTCTGCGGCAGCAGCCCAGAACAGACTAAGACACATACACTCAGGGAGTCTCCCTTCCCTCTCAGTTCTTAAACCACGGCAACAGTGCTGAAAAATTTCTGTTGAATGTCTATAAACCCTTAAGCTTTTTTTTTTCATTAGATTATCTTTAAAAACAAGAGTAGGGGCCAGCACTGCGGCAGGGCTAATGTTAAAACCACTAGTTGCATTGCTGGCATTCCACATTATGGTGCCAGTTAGTCCGGCTGCTCTGCTCCCAATCCAGCTTCAGCGGATATCACTGCAGAGCAAAGACGGCCCAAGTGGCTGAGCCCGTCATCCATGTGGGAAACCAGGCAGGGTTCCTAGCCCCTGGCTTCAGATCAGCCCAACTCCAGCTCTTGCGACCACTTGAGGAGTGAACCAGTGAAGGTCTTTCTGTCTCTCCTTCTCTCTGGAAATCTGATTTTTCTATAAAAATTTAAAAATCCTAAAAAAAAAATGACAGGGTCCAGCACTGTCAACAGGCTAATCTTCCACCAGCAAGGGCCAGCATCCCACACAGATGCCTGTTTGAGTCCTGGCTGTTCCACTTTGTTTTTTAAAGATTTATTTATTTTTATTGGAAAGGCAGATATACAGAGAGGAGGAGAGACAGAGAGAAAGATCTTCAATCCAATGGTTCACTCCCCAAGCAGCCGCAATAGCTGGAGCTGAGCCAATCCAAAGTCAGGAGCCAGGAGCTTCTTCCAGGTCTCCCACATGGGTGCAGGAACCCAAGGCTTTGGGCCGTCCTTGACTGCTTTCCCAGGCCACAAGCAGGGAGCTGGATGGGAAGTGGGGCTGCTGGGATTAGAAACTGTGCCCATATGGGATCCTGGTGCACTTGAGGTGAGGACTTTAACCGCTACGCTATCGCGCTAGGAGCTACACTATCGCGCCAGGCCCTGGCTGTTCCACTTTGTACCCAGCTCCCTTCTCATGTGCTGGAAAGCAGCAGAAGTCCTTGCGATCTTGCACCCACATGGGAGACCCAAAAGAAGCTCCTGGCTTCCAGCTTCAGCTCAGCTCTGGCAATCTGTTGCCATTTGGGAAATGCCAGATCTGGGGAAGACCTACCTCTCTCCCCCCACCCCCTCTGTATTTCCTCTCTCTGCCTTTTATACATAAATAAACCTTTGAAGAAAAAAACAAAACAAAACAAACAAAACCTCTTAAATCAAATCTTATCAGGCTGGTGAAGTTAAAGTATCTGCACCCTGAGTGTTATGCTCGAACATTTCTGTCAAACACTAGAAAAAAGCAAAAATAGCATAATTGGGTTTGCTCTTACCATCACTTAAAGTTCACTGACAGTATTACAAAACTCCTGTTTTCCTATCTGCAGAATGCTGTACCTGCCTCATATGTTACAAGGGTTAAATGAAATGCCTGTAAAGCACTTGAAATAATACCAAAGCATAGTGAGCACTCCAAAAAATAAAGGCCAGATTTATTAAGTTCAGCATTTGAACCCAATCGTGATCAGAAGACACTCTAACACACTATATTACATCACTTCTCATTTACTGTTCAACCTTAGAAACACTTGCCTCCTGGGTACCAATACGCTCTCTGATAAAACACTAAGTTCCAAAATATTAATGTCTTCAACAGCATATTTATATTTTGTTGATATAAGTTTAACACTTTCTGCTGCTTATCATATAAATCAAAACCCCCAATCACACCATAGTACTTTTCAGTTAGAACTCTGAGGTCCAAACACGCTGTAGACCTCAAACTCTAACATAAAAACTGGAGGCTAGCCAATTCTCATAAATAAATTTTCATAATGATTTTTATTGCGAACTTTGTAGAAAGATTATTGCACCTGGCTATCTTTATTATACAGGAAGCGCACTGTGAGCAAGAAACATTACTGAGATACCTTTGTCTCTCCCACAGCACTTCCAGCACTGTTCACATAGCTCGCCTACTAACAATGAGTCAATTCAATCTATCTGCTTTGTAAACATGCTTGATCCCACTTCCTGGGCCTTGGATCCTGCCTGTGCCCTGAATCTGCCTCTTCTTTAACAATCTTTACTCTTAACAGATACCTCAAGCCTACTTATTTGAGGTGGGCATTTACAGTATAGTAAGATGTTCAAACCCACACTGGCAAAGCACCTGGTTTGATGTCAGCGCAGGCTCGTGATCCTGGTTTCCTGTTCATCGGGTCCTGGGAGGCAGCAGTGCTGGCTCAAACAACTGGGTTCCTGCTGCCCACGGAGGAGACTCAGCATCAGTCCCTCCAATGGTTCTGAGCATTTGAGGAGGCGGAGAGAGGATGAGGACTCTCTTCTTTTTCTTTCAATGAGTGAGTAACTTCTTCACAAAATCATTTCCAATTAACTGCCACGTCAAGCACTTTGCAATTCATTTCTGGGTATGATTTCTTATACCTATCCAACTTGAAAATAAATTTTTGGGGGGTCAAAATGAGGGTTCTGTCTATACACTTCTTGTATTCGTTAGGCTAAAATGATAGTTACGCTTCAGTCCTTACAATAGCAACAATATTACTGCCTATCACTCATTAATTAAAGTTTCAGTATTTGAATATGCTACTTCTAATATGTATTTGGTGTTAATATTTCAAATATACTTATAAGATTTTATATGCTAAATAAATCTTTGGTACTTTGTAAGCACTTTATTTACCATATAATGTGAAGCGGATCCACACATTCCTGCTTGCTAAAGATAGTCCCGCTTTATGCTTATTAACTCGGGGTAATTTTTAAAATAAACAACTTTACTAAAGAATAGTTAACATAAAAAAGCTGTACAAATTTTGTATACGAATTGATGAGCCTGGAGATAAGTATACCTGTGGAAAAACCAGCATAATACATGGCCCATAATAATTTTAGATTTATCTATTTTACTTGAACATTAGACAGAGAGATCTTTCATCCATTGAATCAGTCTCCCAATGGCTGCTACTGCCACAACTGGGCCAGTCTAATTTTTGGAGTTAGGAGTTTCCAGGTTCCCCAGACAAGCACAGGGTACCGAGGCTTTGGGCCATCCTCTACTGCTTTCCCAGGGGAACAGTAAGGAGCTGAACCAGAAGTGGAGCAGCCAGGAAATGAATCAGTGCCCATGTGGGATGCCAGCACCACAGGCAGAGGATTATCCTGAAACACAACCACACTGGTCCCCATAAAAACTATTAAAACAATCTCTGTTTACATTCAAAAGTAAATTATATGGCCATACCCTAATATGTCCAACTCTTCTGCCACAATGAAGTTCTATGATTATACACAATGGCTGATAAATTCATCTGTTTATCTTCTCTGGTAATATACGGAAAGCAATCAAGCATTTTGGTAATAATTATGAAAGTGAACATCTACAACTAAATTACAAATTTCTTCAAAATTTATTTGACACCCTTTGATATTCTGTAAGATTTTCAATAAATGTTCAGCAAATTTTGAAAGTAAACTAGCAAGCAAAAGGGAAAACCAATATGAATACTTCTACCCAAAAGCCAATTACATATGATGTTGTAACAGTATAAAAATATAACTAGTAAAGCAACCATATAGCTCCCTAGTTCTTACTGATCGTGGAAAATCAAATGGAATACCTTCAAAATGCAAGCAAAAAAAAAAAATCATTAAACTAGGTTTGCGGGTCCAGCACGGTAATCTAGTGGGTAAAGTCCTCACCTAACATGCACTGGAATCCCATATATGTATCAGTTTATATCCCAGCTGCTCCACTTCCCATCCAGCTCGCTGCTTGTGGCCTGGGAGAGAAGCTGAGGACAGCCCAAAGCCTTGGGACCCTGCACCCACGTGGGAGACCTGGAAGAACCTTCTGGCTCCTGGCTTTGAATTGACTGAGCTCTAGCCATTGCGGTCACCTAGGGAGTGAATCAGCAGATGGAAGGCCTTCCTCTTTGTCGCTTCTCCTCCTCTCTGTATTTCTGACTTTCCAGTAAAAATAAATAAATATTTTTTTAAAAAAAGATACACTTCATAAAGGAGGAAAGTGATTTTTAGAGAACAAATGCCAGAAATTGGCAAATGCGGTGAAACTTAAACAAACACTTACTCAACAGAATGAGAATAAAATGCTTACTTTGTGGAAGTGAGATAAGCTGAAGTGTAATTTACAATAAATAGTACACACAATGTGCATACATTTTCACTTCACCTTGTCTACACCGGAATGACAGCACTTGATATCTTTCTACCCATCTTGGCCAAAGTGATCTTTAACAGACATCACCTCAAACAACAGTCCCATTACTATCCCGTGTAGTTACATGTGTTCTCTGCAGCAACATCACAGTGTCCTCAAATGCAAGCACAATGCATCTTGCATCTTCTTCTGTCCACTCGTATCTTCCTCTGACAGGCCCCTCTCCTTTCAAAACATACTCTTTTTATTTCTCCTTGCACACGGGCCATGCTAATCTTCTCTGTATTGTTCCAATTTTAGTATATGTACTGCCCAAGTGAGACTCTTATTTCTCAATCTTTTCCATTCCTTGTACAATAACTACTAAAAATAAAAGCTACTACTTGTATTAGGCTGACGTTCTACTAATATTTTGCAAGCATTTCATTTAATCTCTACAACAATCCTATAAGGAAGGCACTCTCCTTTTTAGAGATCAGAAAAATGGACCTGGGGAGCTTGGGCCATTTGTTCTCTGCCATTAATGCTAAATCTAGATGCTTATAAAACATTACTGCGAACTCTCATCCCCTACTGTGGCTTTTCTCCCTTTAACTGCTGTGATTGTGAGTACTGTGTTGAGTTCTAACTACATTTCCCAGAATCCTTTTCCCACAGGTTCTAGGTTAGAGTGGACCAAGAGAGCAGTGCTGTGAAGATGATGGCTACATCTCATGTCTGCTTTCCCCTGCTCTGCTTACAGGTCTGCTTCCCTGAGTGCAACCCCAGACAAGGTCACTCTGCAGAGGTGCCAGCTCTCTACAGGTGCCCCAGCTCCCACAGCCGGCATTATGTCACCTGTAAACTCCCAGCTAGGCAAAGCACCAAAACTGGTTAGTGATTTTATCCCATCTGCCCTAACAAACTCCAATTTCCCAGTAACGTCTTATTCCGCTGACAAGTCACACATCATCATAGCATCTGTTTCCTTGAGAAAAGTTTTAAATGATGCAAGTTTTCAAGCCTCCTCCCACCCCTCTAACCAAGAAATCTCTGCCACTTCCCCTTTTGAGATTTTCTTGCATGACCAAATCTTGTCCACTCAGTCCTTTCATTGCCTCCCCTCAAGCCGTATTCAATCAATGAAACTGAGGTATTCCTTGTTTCAAACAAACCATATCACTTCCCATTTGTAAAGATTTAATGGAGACAATACTATAGGAGGTGTCAGATTGACACATGGCAGTACCAATGTATAAACTTAGGAATAACATCAGCTAAGAACAAGCAAAGGACCTTCTGAGCTCTGTTTGGAGATGTGAAGTGGGAGAAGCAAAGAACAATTCTAAGAAAAAAAATACTTGTTAATGTAGTTTGTCCCATATGTGATTTTTCCCCCACAATGAAGTAGGGAATCTTCACTTCTTTAAAAAGCCATTTTGGAGTTACTCAAGTATCTCCTTAAAAATTTTTTTTAAAGTTTCTACTGAGCAGAAGACTGTATAATTTTTCCAGTATCTCCTTTTTCTTTTCCCAACAGATCTTCCACATCCTCCATCCTTTGGTTTAAGTATTTCAAAAGCATGCTTTCCTATTCTGGTTTTCCATTCATAACATGAGAATCATTCAGTTCTCTTATTTCCAGGACTCAACATTTACTATCTTTCTGTCCCCATTCACTCTTTCAAGAAGCATTTACTGACAACTTACCACCTATCAAGTACAGGTCAATTAAAGTATTATCAAATACCTTTAAATAAGGAAGTTCACTCAGATTCCAAGTAATCACATTAAACAGAGCTGTTTATCCTCCTTCCAAATGCTCTCTCATCACACAGCTTCCACAGACGGCAGCCATGTTCCAAACAAAAATCCCTGGGTTTCTTCTGTCTCTCTACCATTAAGTCGTGGGTCTCACTGAATCACAACACAGACAGATCCTCAAGAGAACACCCCGGGCAACCTTACTTTCCTAAGTTCAGAAATATTGAAGTTGCTCTGTCACAATCTACTCCTAATTACTGTCAGTCTGAAGAGAGAGTGAGCTCAGGCTGCCTGCCCACCATTACAGTACAAAAGGTGGCTTGCAACATTTCTTTCAGGAAGACTCTAGTCAAGAAACCGCTCAGGCACATCACCTTCAATCCACAACTAGGGGATATAATTTTGCGATATTAACATACCTTAACTGACCTCAGAAAACATAACTGACCTACCCTTTCCCAAATCACAGGATAAGATTACATATGCATAGGTATAGTGGCTTGGAGATTAAGTCATCAGAATGCAGCCATACACTAACCATTAACTAGCTAAGTTAGCATCATATATCTCCAAAAGTAGATTTTTGTAAATATTAAGACTAAGAAATGCCTACTTCTTGTTCCCTTATAATGTGTAAGAGATCTTAAAAATTTTAAAACTACTTGACATACATTATATTATACATTATATGCATAATACAGTAAGATATTAGTACTTTAAGGATTTAACAGGCCATTTAAAAATGCCTAGGCTGCTTAGAAAATATATTAAAGTCAGCATTTAAATCACACTGATTTCTCAAACTTAATCTCATTTCTTTATCACATCAAAACAAAAGAACAAGATGTTTTGGATCAAAACTCCACAATAGCATTAAAATGTAAAACAGAGTAATCACACACCAAATAATGATAAGGAAGCATCTTTAAATGACAAATCTAAAATATGACTTGGGAACATTTAACAGACACAACCGACTTCACTTTAGACTAGCAATGTATTCCCAAAGGCTAATAAAAAATAAATCTCAACTCATTCTCACTGGCTTCCATTTAATCATTCTTAAAGTAGATTTTACAAACAACTCACAGAAAACATTCTCTCTCATGAGGGGCTGATCAGAAATACCTGCTTTCTCCTTCTGGGCGTAAGGAAAGATTCAGTCCCTCCTGCCGCTGACCCCAGGGCCAGCCAGGAGCCTCTCCTGGACAGAACTTCATGCATAAAGTAGTGATGTTCCTTCCAGGTAAAGACTTTAGACACCACAGCGTATGTTGACACATTTTATTTTCTCTCCATCCTAGCAACCAGTAATGATCCAGACTGGCTGCTGCCAAGTGAGGTCGCAAAGTGGGACCCAAAGGAAAGATGACAACACTGAGCAGAAGCTCCCAACTGAACACAAGTGAGCAGAAATCAATCTCTCTTCTTTCAAGACCATGAGATTTGGAATTTAGTCTACACAGCATACTCAGATTGATACTTCTTAAAAATGCACTAAAAATTTCTAGTGTTCATTTTATAAGAAACTGTATCTGTTTATGGACATTAAACGTTGCTATATTACTTCCCTAAAGACAGAAAAATAAACCTATCTCCCATACCATTTATTTAAAATTGACCAGCTTATTTGTACACACAGTATAAATAATGACACCATTTCAATTTACTCAAGTATTTTTCAGCACTCTTTGGGTGACTGTGAAAGATGGATTAAAGTATCACCTAAATTTCAGGAGGCAGCATGCAGACAAGCATTGAAGCCATTCTGACACCTGGCTCCAGCTTTCTGCTGGTGCAGACCTCAGGAGGCAGCAGTGATGGCTCAAGGATTTGGGTTCCTGCTGTCCACAGCAGACCTGAACTGCGTTCTTGGTCTCAGCATCAGCCACAGCCCAACCATGCCTGTTACAGGCATCTGGGAGTGAACCAACAGGTGCGAGCGCCTTTGTCTCTGCCTCATAAACAAACAATTTTAAATAAATCGGAATTTTTTTTTTTTGCCATGTTGAGCCCATCCACGGAAGACTCCAGCACACACATTCATACAGAGGTTGCTGCATGTGATGCAAATACGCAAACAGTGAGGCAGCAAAGCGATCAAAAATCCCGTACTGTAACTGGAAGAGACACACACACACACACACAC